TTGTGGAAAAAATTCCATAGTGCTTGGGTGTGCAATTGCATTCGATTGCATGTTTGTGATAGGAAAGTTTTTATTAAATCTGACACCTGTAATAAATGTCATCAGATTTATTATTCATTGTTTTTTAAGGAAATTTAGAATGGTGAAGGGAAAAAAATATTTTTCCAAAGATTTGAGTAGACACACATTATTGTTTCAAAATTAATTCCTGAAAAGATTTTATTCCTGCATGGTCTTTGGTATGATTTATTACTTAGATGATGCAATTGTTTGTTATGTCAATGACAACACCAAATGTATTGAATAAAGCATCACAAATATTTAATAGATGCAGGTATTTACATAGAAAGAAATGATTAAATAAAAACAAAAAAGATAAGTTTTTTTATCTAACCAAGATATATATTCAAAAAATAATTATTTTATCCCATTAGCTCTAATAAATCATTTGTTTCTTTAGCATTAGTGATCAAATCAATTACACAACATGTGTATGGTTGTATGAAGAATGTTATTTTTGTTGATGCAATTGAATTTTTTTTATTTTTTTACAAGATGAGGGAACATGAATGTTGTGGTTTAGCATGGCATGGTTCTCCTAAAGAAGATAGAGTGTTGTTTATTGACAACAAAAGGTACATAATTTTTTATTTTTGTGTAATTATTTTTTTTTATAGTTTATATAAATGGATTGATGTGTTGTTTTTTATTTTATATAAATGTATATTGTTGAAATCAAACATAGAGCAGAACTTCTCATGTCTCTTTAGGTGTGATAATAAACTATTGGCATCATTTTGCTTTTCATATAATCATTATTAACACTAATATTAAATCATATTAAGATGTCAAGGCAACACAACTGTTACAGAAGAACCATTTAATATGGAATAATTTGACATGTAACAGTTTGATATGTAATGTTTGATTATCAGAAAATTACAAGTGTTGAAGCCACTTGCTACTTTGACACTACACAGTCATTCTCACACATTCCTTGAGTACACAAGGCTAATCTGACCATGACTCTCCGATGGTACATGAATGCACTAAATTTTTAGGGGGGGTGTATGGCCCTGAAATTTATCAAGAGACTAAATATATTATCTGTATGTGGTTTTATTAATTATTTAATATTATCAACCTTCAAATGGTGATTGAGCTGGACCAGCTATAATAACATCAAAGTATCGAAGGTTTTCTTCGTGTGGTGTTGCACTTATACCGGGGGCTGGTTCCTGTATTAAACGTTCAGTTTCCTAAAAAAATATTAATCAGGTGATAATTATAATAACTAGTTGTATTAATAAATACATTATTTCTAATAATTTCTGTGAACTATTGGCTGCCAATAATTATTACTGCAAACTCCAAGTTGTGAGAATCATTTGTTTTATACCTTGATTATTCTTTTTGGTAAAGACATTTTTGTCACAAGAATGATCTTCATTCCAGTGTAACCACGATGTTTATAAATGGGAAATAGGAAAAAGTGCTTTGTTATAAAATGGTAATATTTTAATCAAATCACTTATAAAAATGGCACGCAAGTCAATTCCATATTTCCCGTTTCATTCAATCTCACCAAAACAACTTTCCTATAATGTAATGTAACAATTAGTTGAACAAAAAAAAAGATGGAAACCAATAATTGTGTCGTATTTAAGAAATCATGCGTGTAATTAATAATTCATCTCAATCCATTGTATTCATCTTTTTTAATTCTTCTGTAGATTTTAAAGAGATGAAGACTTTTAGACTTTTAGACTTTTTAGTATGTCTTAATTGTTATATATATTAATATGTTGACTAAACTTTAATTTCGGCGACTCTGAAATTATGAAACAACGACAACAATACTACGATGAGGATAATAACATTTTGCGTTGTTAACGATTTATTACAATAGATAATGTGAAATTATTAACCAATAAAATTTCATTCTTAGAAAATAATTTACACCACATCAACTAGTTTGAAACAAAAAAAGAATATAAGAAAGATCTTTATAAACAATATATAAACATTACAAAATATTATTTTCAATCCTTTAAAATATGTATATAATAATATATAAATATTCGCTAGAAGGTATATACATATATGATAGAAATAAAAAATTTAACTCAATTCTTATAAAAAAATGAAAATAATATTTCAATCGATATTACTTATTATAACTATATTTATGGTAAATGAATTTTTTTCTTCGTATCAGTGATTATCATATTTATTATAGACTAATTAGTATCATTGACTGTCATACATAGACTAAGAGAATAAAAAGTCAAGGAGTTGTAAAAATTCCACCTTCATATACTTGGTATATATGTAGCGATAAAGAAACAAATCAAATAGGTATTTTGATGACGATAATGATAGTAGTGATCCTTCTTCGAACAATTGTTAAAGAAAGAAAATAATCTGAAAATTTTTTCTCCCTTTAGCATATAACTTAACAGTCATAGCAGACCAAGATGATTTAACACTCACACCAAATTTCGGCGAATTAGCACCGGGATGGCCATTAAAATTTAACCAAAATTTAATTGATATTGTATCATCACCATCACATTCATCAGTATCATTATCACAATCACATTCATCAGCATTATTAACATCACCGTCACCATCATCACTGTCGTCATCCCCAACGCCAACAACACCACCATTAGACATGCCAAATATTGAAGATCCATCACCAGGAGTGGTGACTTTATTAACAAATAGCACAGAAATGATGAAATTTTTAAACCCAAATGGCAAAGTCGCATGGTTTTATAAATCATTTTCATGTATAAATGAACCGGTTACATCGTGTATAAAATTTACAACACCATCACAAACATTAGCAAATAATACAATACAATGTTTGGCTGTCAATAACCCAAATGAATCCGACATTGTGTTTCAATTAAATATTAGTTCCAGTGGTAATTATAGTGGCAAGAATTATTTTGATATAAATACAAATCAAAATTATTCTTCTGGTACAGTAAATGATAATTATAATTTGATGTTCATAGTAATACTATCATTATTAGTACTAGTCCTTAATTAGTCAGGATTAATATTTAAAATAAAATTCCCCATCTGCATTCTTATTAGATATTGTTGGCGTATTAATTCAAAACAAATTTAAATTTAAAATTGCTTCAACATTACATATGTAATATTAAATTTACAAGTACAACATCTTCTTGGCATTGATACGCTGCGGGATATCATAACATGGGGTATCCACAAAATTCCTAGGCATAAAAATAATTAAAATTCGGATTAATTTTTTCAACATTGCTTATAATATTAAATGTGATAACAAGTATCAAATCTTTTATTTTTTATTATTATTTACTTTACAAGTTTTGACTTTGTTACTGAACAATCGTGGATTCCCAAGGATTCAAATTTTTATGTGGATCGCAAATTAAAATATAATCTCATACATAAAAGTTATTTGGTAAATATGTATAAGATAACCTTTGTTAATAATAATAACAACAATCTTGCATGATAACGATTGACGTTGTCTTGAACTCTATTTATAACTCTCTTCGTTGGAGGTTAGAAAGGATATATGTTTACCAAGTTTTTTTACAATATTTTTAATAATTATGAGAACATGGTTAATTTAATTCGCTCTAAGACTTTACTTTATATTATATCATAAATGCTGATAGATTGAAATTCAATTTTTAATTAAAAAAAAAAAGTTATGCATGATTTCATAATTTTGTGTAAATGCCAATAAGAAAGAATTTCATCTTGATCTTTTTCAAAATACTTTTACTCCTTGTGTCGTAAAGAGTATCATTTAAGGATTTGAAATGATACATTCTCACAAGTATACTCCAAATAAAAATATTATCAGCAAAAAACCAATGTTAATATTGATTGGAGGTGGCACTAGCTCAAGCTTGGAGAATAAATAATTTAATCTCTCTGGAATTTGAATAATTTGGTTGGAAGGACTTGTTATCAAGAGAAAAAGAAAAAAAGTAGTCGTTGATTAGAAAAAAGAAGATGCGAAATCAAGAGATTTGTTTTCTCGCTCATTCATGCCCTTAAAAGAAGAATTCATTCTTCCTACATATGTAAACTCGATAAGTCGGCCAAAATTTTCACCCCATTTTCTTAATATTTAAGTAATTTAATTTGATAAGTCGGTTTACTCGATAAGTCGGTCATATGAGCTCACCCCCACATGTATATATATATATATATATATATATAATTTGGTTTTCACCAATAATACTTTGAGAAACGCTGAAATGTATTCAAAAGGCAATTGCAAGACATCAAGTGAAACGGAAAAACAACCATTTCTAATGAATAAACAGTGTCGTGATTATTGTTATATTACTCGATTAAGAACATCGTTGTGTGACTGTTATTTTTACATAATAATAAATTAATAATTAATTATGTCTCACAGAAAAATTTATTAATATGGGAATATAGAAAATATTAATTTCATATTCCTTATTTCCTTATTCGTCATTCTTTTTTTTATCAAGTTAGGCATTTTGGAAATTATCATTGTTTTTGCAAATAGATTAAAATATCCCAACTCTATAGAAAAACTGGTCGCAATTACTTACCATAGAGTCGCAACCAAGGCCGAGTTCGTCATGATTCTAGATATGCTTTATTCTTCGCTTTATGTCAACGGCCTGGTTTTTTGAACCGAAATTATGTATGTTGCATATGAAAAAAATCATATTAAATATATAATACAATTGTTAAATTAGTACAATTATATTGTCGATTACAAAAATCTAAAAATAGGCTAAAAATAAACATGCAACAAAATTAAAAAACAATTTAATACTTTTTTTTTTTATTAACTTTGTCTATCTTTCATTAAAATTATATATTATTTAATAATTACCCCCCTACCTTCCTTTTCAACATCCCACAATAAGCAAAACTCATCGATTGAGTCTCTCATTCAAAGAAATTATTTTCTTTTTTTCTTTTGACCAGAGAAAGAATTAAATATGTCATTTGATAAAGAGGCTAAAAATGGTGCTAAAACAGGTCACCAAAGACAATTGTCAACCTCTTCAAATTTACAACAATCACAAAAACGTCTAATATATGTCAACATGCCATTACCAACAGAAGAGCTTGATCAATACGGTGAACCTAAAACATATTTCGTACCAAACAAAATACGTACCTCGAAATATACCCTTTTAACTTTTTTACCGAAAAATTTATTCGAACAATTTCGTAGAGTGGCAAACATGTATTTCCTCTTTTTAGTAATTCTACAACTTTTCCCACTCATTGGTGGCGGTGTTTCTCCCCTCATTGCTGCCTCCCCGCTACTCTCAATTACAACTATGACCGCAATCAAAGATGCTTTCGAAGACTGGAAACGTCACTCTCAAGACAGGACACTTAACAAATCAAGGACAACCAGACTATCCAATTGGCGTAATGTTAATGTGTCAGAAGGTGATGTCAAACGGTTTAAATTTTTACGTGATGTGTTAAATGGTCTTTTTGGTTCACGGAAAAGTAGCAATCAAATAGGCCAAGAAACTAATAGCAATGATAATAATAATTATACAAAACAAACTGAAGGATCTTCTTTGCCTACAATGCAATCATTTCAAAGTGCAAAATGGACAGACAGTCGTTGGCAAGATGTTAGAGTTGGCGACATTATACAATTGAGAAATAATGATCCTGTTCCCGCTGATATGATAATTTTATCCACAAGTGAACCTGATGGACTTTGTTACGTAGAAACAAAAAATCTTGATGGTGAAACCAACCTTAAAATTCGTCATAGTAACAATGCCACATCATCTTTGTTAACAGAAAGTGATTGTGAGCAAGCTTCTTTTTATGTTAAATCAGAGCCAGCACATGCAAATCTATATTCATATAATGGTACATTACATTGGATTGGTGCTAATAATAATGGTGACGTGAACCATCCCAACGAAAAGGTTGAACCGTTATCTATCAATGATGTTCTATTGAGAGGCTGTATTCTACGTAACACTGAATGGGTCATAGGATTGGTAGTATTTACCGGCACTGACACTAAAATCATGTTGAATTCTGGCGATACACCAAGTAAAAGAAGTCGTATAGAAATAGAAACAAATTTTCATGTATGTTTTTTTTCAAGTGAGAAGAAACAAGGGAGTATTGGGATAATTAAAGGTTTCCTTCAAATAAATTAATTTTAATTTTAATTTTAATTTTTAGGTTACCATGAATTTCGTTATATTGTTCTTACTTTGCTTAGGTTCTGGAATAGCTCAAACAGTTTATTTTATTCAACCTCGAAGTTCTGCAGATGTTTTTGGTTATGAAGGTGACATTAGTGGTGGTGCATTATTTAGTGGATTTTTAACATTTTGGTATGAAAGAAATTAATAACTAAATGATTGTTGTTAGGAAGGATTTTTATACATAATCAATCAATTAATCAATCATTCAATTAATTAATCATTCATTTATTCACAGGACAAGTTTGGTTTTATTTCAAAATATCGTACCAATTTCACTGTACATTACAATCGAAATGGTTAAAACTGTACAGGTAAATTTATTATATATATAATATTATTTATTTTATTTATTTTTGCATAATATTTATTTAATAATACACATTTGATTTTTTTTTTTTTTACCTGAAAGGCATACTTTATTCATTCAGATGTTGAAATGTATTATGAAAAGCTTGATTATCCATGTGTTCCAAAAACATGGAATATTTCTGATGATTTAGGTCAAATTGAGTACATTTTTTCTGATAAAACTGGTACATTGACACAAAATGTTATGGAATTTCGTAAGTGTACAATCAATGGTGTTGCATATGGATTAGGTGAAACAGATGCTATGCGTGGTGCAAAATTACAAGAACGACTTGATAATGGCGGAAATGCAAGGAATGATGATGATGATGAGGTTGACTTGGAAGCAGAGAAAAAATTAATGTTGGAAGAAATGTCAAATTTATTTGAAAATAAATACATCTCTCAAAATCTTACATTCATTGATTCAGAATTATACCAAGATTTAAAAGTTATGGATCAACAATCAAAGGCTATTCAGGATTTCTTTTCTGTGTTAGCACTTTGCCACACTGTATTGGTTGAACATCCTAATGAAAATGATCCCTATACAATTGATTATAAAGCTCAATCACCAGATGAGGCTGCTTTGGTTGGTTGTGCAAGAGACGTTGGGTTTGTGTTTCTTGAACGGTATCAGGATACTTTAGCGATTGAAGTGATGGGTCAACGTAAAGAATTTACATTGTTAAATGTCTTGGAATTTAATAGTACTAGGAAAAGAATGTCGGCTATTCTACGTTTGCCTGAAGGAGGAATAGTTCTATTGTGTAAGGGTGCTGATAGTGTAATATATGAACGTTTAGAAAAAGGAACCCAAGTAAGGCTAAGAGAAGAAACTTTGGAAGATCTTGAACTTTTTGCTAAAGAAGGTAGTTATTTGCATATTTATATATATATTTATTTATTTATATGTATTTATGTATGTTGTATATATGTATAATATATTTACATTTGAATATTAATTATGTTGATTTGTTTTTAAAAAAAAAATCAAGGACTCAGAACACTTTGTATAGCATATCGTACTATATCAGAAGAAGAGTATAATGTATGGTCAGCAAAATATGCAGAAGCAGCATCCAGCATTAATAATAGAGAAGAAAAAATAGAAGAAGTATGTGAGATGATTGAACATTCATTGATATTAATGGGAGGAACTGCGATAGAAGATCGACTTCAGGAAGGTGTTCCAGAAACTATTGCCACATTGGCACAAGCTGGTATCAAGTTATGGGTGTTGACAGGTGATAAAGTGGAGACAGCCATTAATATCGGTTTTTCATGTAATCTGTTACAAAAGGACATGCTTCTAATCATTATAAATGCGTCAGACAAACAAAGCACTCTTTCCCAAATAAATGAGGCAATTAAAAAATTTTTTGAATGTGAAGGTGAAAAGAAAAATAAGCACGCACTGATCATAGATGGTGAAACACTCAAATATGGATTAGACAATGATGTAAAACCATATTTGTTGGATCTTGGTAAAAGATGCGAGAGTGTTGTTTGTTGTCGTGTGAGTCCATTGCAAAAAGCACAGGTGGTTGCTATGGTGAAAGAAGGATTAAATGTGATGACATTGTCAATTGGAGATGGAGCTAATGACGTTAGCATGATACAAGAAGCAAATGTTGGAGTTGGTATTGCTGGTGAGGAAGGTCGACAAGCAGCAATGTCAGCAGATTTTGCTGTTGCACAATTTAGATATTTGGAAAAACTTTTACTTGTTCACGGACGTTGGTCATATATCAGAATATCAGAAATGATTTCTTGTTTTTTTTACAAGAATATTGTATGGACAATTGCAATGTTTTGGTATCAAATCTGGGCTGGGTTTTCTGCACAATATCTTTATGATTATACATACATTATGCTTTATAATCTTATATTTACAGCAATTCCTGTAATGTATTTGGGTGCATTTGATCAAGACGTTGATTCAAAAACTTCTTTAAAAAATCCACAACTTTATAAACGAGGCATTTTACAACAAGATTTTACAAAATCCAAGTTTTGGTTATATGTAACGGATGCAGTCTATCAATCGCTCATTTGTTTTTTTGTTCCATACGGACTACTCCAATTTGGACAATCTCATCGCACAGGGTTGACAAACAACAGTTTAGATGATTTAGGAACCGTGGTGGCAGGATCAGTAGTGGTAACAACTAATTTATACGTTGGAATTAACACTTTGAATTGGTCATGGATCGGATTTTTGGTTATTGCTGGCAGCATCTTATCATTTTATTTATGGGCAGAACTTTATTCCATAGTGTATTCAATAGGATTCTTTAGAGTGGACATGATACTATTTTCTGATATAGATTTTTGGTTAACAATTATTTTTGTAACAATGTTCAGCATTATGCCAAGATATGTTGTCAAGTATCTCCATAAATCATATTGGCCAACTGATACAGATATTATCCGTGAACAGGTGTATCAAGCGAAAAAACATAATAAGATAAGAACACGAATGATTGTTGATGAGGAAGAGGATAGATTGCCAATTAATACCAAACCAGGAGGGTATGCTGCTTCATCGAGTGCAAGTTATATGAGTAATAATACATATGAAGATGCGTATAGTGAAAATTCAATAATGAACGAATTGACATCTGAGCCAACATCAATGACAACAACAACAACAACAAATGATAAACAAAATGTAAAACCACCACCAATATTACCAAAGATTAACAAACTAAGAAATCATAGAACAACAGCGTCTGTAAGATCAATTGAACAACTCATACATATGGATTCTGGTAAAAGACAATCATTCACAGGGTTTGCATTCTCAGTTGAGGAGAGTGGGTTTGAGAGTTTCAGGGAATCAGTTTATAAACCTATACAAAATATTAGCAATAAATTACGTAGATCTAGAACCATAAGTACTACTACCGATTCTTCAATAAAAGAAAGTAAATCCATAACAACGGCATCATCAAATAATTTATTACATTCCACACAAACACTAATAAATCGTAGTAAAACTTTACCTAGTACTTTATTCAGCAGATTATCATCATCTAGTAGTATTAGTAGATCTCCTTCACCAAATAGTTTAAATTTTAATAATGAGGAAGTTGAACTTTCAGTAATTTCATCTGCATCATCATCTTCATTACCATCACCATCACCATAATAACTTTAATACGTGTTTTTTTTTTTTTTAAAAATAGAATTTTATTTATTTATTTGTTTGTTTGTTTGTTTGTTTGGAGTGGGTTTAATATTATTTATATAAAAATATAAATACACACATTAATTTTTTTTTTGTATAGTATTTTTAGAAAAAATTTCTTTTTCCTCCTTAGATGATGCTTACAGTAATCGTAATATAAATAATAACAACGAATATTATCATCTATTTATCATCTATTAATAATTTTGTATAAATTTATTTATTTATAAATAATATTGTAATTACATTAGTTAAATAGTTTATATGCAAAAAAAAGAAATAATTTATTATATGAGACAAAAAAATATGTGATCCAAGTTTATTTAATTTTCAAAAGTTTTTTATCAATTGATGATTTAGTAGGAAATATATAAAGAAGAAATTCAAATTATCATCATCATCAGTAGTGCTGCTATTCATAATTGCCTCTGAAGCCATCCGTGTAGTAAAATATTTGCTAGCTCGCTAAATTATTAATTAACGTAAGAAAACAATCCAGTACAACATTCAATCTCATTCAAGATTAATGTTAATTTGCAAATTTTTTTAGTGGTAAAAATTGACTTGCAGATCAATGAATGTATTTACTTTCTTTCCAAGGTCGTAAAACCTTTCTACTTTCAATGACATCTGATAGCCTTCCATTTTTCTCTTGCTAGCCTTTCAACTTGTGCTTAATTTTCTCTGCTGTCTTCTTCCATGTGCATATATGAATAGATGACAATAACTTGCGTTCTTTTGATTGTTCTTCCTCCGAGCTCAACAATCATCACGAAACTATATAAAAAAACATCACCCTAATACTGTGGTTTAGGACCATGCGAGATACAATTTGTGCGTTGGTTACCAAACAAGGCAAAAAAGGACGAGAAAAATGAATGGTAAACGAAGGGGGGAAGAAAAAAGAGTAACCAACAACATCATTGCCCAAATCATATTTGAATAATATTAAAAAATATCAAATTCCGATATTTTAACTCTTATGGATCGGCTTTGGATGATTAACATGTCATTCGCTAGTTCTTGACGACCTGATAGTGGGTGAGAGCAGATTCCACAAATTAGCAGGCTGAATTACGATCGAGTGCACTTTAAAGTCACATTAATAATCCCTAATAAACAAATGGGATTAACATCGAGCGTACTTTAAATTTACCCTTCTAATCCTTAACAGCGAATGGTTGCCTCGGATTGACCTTCTCGGTGTTGATCTAACCCATTTATGATCACCTTAACTCGGTCAGTCATGAAATTCTTTTTTTATCTGTTTGGCAGTAAAAAGCTTTTAAATATATACTGTATATATATATATATATATATATGTTATTAAATTGTCAAAAAATTTCGTTTTGTTAAAAAAAAGAAGTCTATACCAATATCAATAATATTTAAAAAATTATTCATTAAATGGGTAGGTGGTTTCAGTGAATTATTGTTTAAGGAATTTAATAGACAATAAAGAAGATGAAGACACCATCAATTGGTCAATTGGCATCGGAAGACAGTAGTGAATATGTAATTAAAAATAATATTTATATCTTTTTAAAATTTTTTGTTTATATTAACTAAATGTTTTTGAAACATTTAATCCAAACAATTATCATTAATGACGAAGAAGACTTACCAAGAAATCAAAGTCAAATTTTAACAACTTTCATGTTGAAGAAAAATTTCATTGTCAAGTGAAAAATTTATAGTCCGACTACCAAAATTCCATTGATTCCAACATATAATAATAATTATAATAACAAATACACGGCATTAAAAAAAGTTTTGACGAAATGTGTTTTTTTTTTCACATAGAGTGAATTTTCCACAATCAGAACATATGACCCCAAAATTCAGTACAGTATGAATACTTTATACTAGCAAAAACCCATTGGTTTTTGGAGATGGTAGCGGAGAAAATAATTTTTTTAGGGTTAATTATCATTCTACTGACCATCAAAATACTCGTATCGAAAAAGAAACAAGTACTTTTACATCATCATTTACTAAAATTCTATCACCTACCGAAACATCACCATGCATCATACTAAACTTTGAAAAAAATATTGTAAACAATATTATCACATTATCATTATTACAAGTTTGTAGTGCGCCTAACTTTTGTGTGACTTGCCAAATCCACCATTTTACCAGCGCTAAACTTAATGAGGATATCTTTCCCAACATTATGTATTGTTTATTAATTATGAATAATTCAATAAAAAAGTATAGTTAGTTAATTTTTTAAATACAACTTTTGATAAATTGAGTCGAATTCCTCCTGGCACTTTTTCTTCTCTTAAAAATCTGACAAAAACAATAATTAAATAATCAAATGGATGATAATAGTGATATAAAACGATGTTGTTGTTGTATTAGACTTAGACCTGCAATGATAATCATTACTTTATTATGGACTGTAAGTTGATTGGCTTTTTTTTAAAGAAAATAATTAATTAGTTTATCACATGCTTATTTATATGTTTATAATTATACTTTTATAAGCTTTATGGAATATGGGAGACATATAAATATACAACAGATGCCATTCTTAAGTATCCTTGTAAGTAAACTTTATGATTTAAAACATTTTGAAATTCAGATCGCCCTTTTTATTGACATTAATAATTGTTCTTTAGATTCAGTAGTAGAAGTTTCAATAATAATGTCTGTTATATATCTTAGCCTGACAATCCTTTCATTTTTTGCATTAATGATAGTGAGCACGGTAAAGTATCAAATGTTGTTATTAAATTGTTACTATCATTAGTTTTCACTCACTAATGATCGTTTAATAATAATCTTTTAGAGTAAAACAAAGTTTCTAAAAATTTTTAAAGCATTGGCTTATACAATCGCGGCATTTTATTCATTTGTAGCAATGATTCCATTCATTGTTCTTGCTGCAAAAAAAGATGAGTTCACCAGTTCGTGCTTTAAAACTGGTTATCTTGGGGATTGTAGAACCCTTATCAATACCATGATTGTTGGTGGCATAATCAATGTCATTGTTCTGGCAGTATTTTCGGTAAGTAATTAAATTTTATAACCAAATTAATTAATCGATTTATTAAAAAATTTTTATTATTTTTTATTATTTTCAGCTTTATTTTGCAGCGATAGTTAAAGCCTACGTATTGAAAATGAATACCGAAAGAAGAAATTCCCAAAGAGAAACAGCGGAGGAAACACCAAAAGAAACAAACATGGAAACATCGAGTCAACCAGTAAATTAATTAATTAACCAATGGTCAATGGAAAAATTTTAAGACGCGCGCGAATAAACTATTATTTTATTATATATTTCATTTTAAAGATATTGTTCTTGTTATATTTTATATATTCAATTAGACAATTTATTGATTCGAAATAATGAATTTGAATTTAGTAAAGTTATCATGATTGAGTTAAATTCTGACTTTTAAATTACAATAATAAATCCGCATGTCGCAATTGAACAAAATAAGTTATTATCTCATATATATAAAATATATTATTATTAATTCTTCCAGTTTGAATCTGGTTGCTATGACTTCAGGTAATAAATAAGGCATAATGTTATAAATATGGTTGTTAAATATTTCCAAAGTAGTTTTTGCTTATTCATCGTGCAATCTATCTATTAGATTCCCATAATCAACAATTATTTTCTTGCTTGCATATAAATAAAATTCTCAATAGGCACTTCTGTGACCATTCAAGCCAACGACTAAATTTCGAATACTTGGTTAAGATCCTCTTTTTTTGTAGAAAACTCTTCGATATAACTAATAATTAATTATAATTGAAAATTCGCCTATTAACCAGTGAAATGAATATTCAAAGCATTTACATGAAAAGTTGTGCTACTTTCTGTCTTTCTCATAAACAGAATAATTCAATGAAAATGGCAATAGTAATAATATCGGTGTAGTAGTAGTAGCTATACATGAAGTCAAATTAAACAATTTGGACTTTTTAGATGGTCGAAGTGGTTGAAATTATGATATTGGTTGCAGGGATTGCTTCACCATGTAAAGTATGTTGATTTCTTTCTTAAATTTTGAAACTCAACCATCTGAATCTTTAAAACCATTGATATCTAGTAATTCAGCGAATTTTTAACTTTAGCAACAATTACATCACCTATATTTATTCTATTTGAAAGTGCTTGGTCGAACCATATCATCAACGCGCTTTCAAGATTAGGATATTTTGGAGTTTTATTTTTTATTAACAATTCCGTATTTTTAACCGAGCTTTTATACGTGGACGATGAATTTTTTTCTAATTTCTATAGGTTCATTATATCGAGCGCCGACTGTAATTGTTTTGTTTTAGCCACAACATATCGTGGTAATCAAATATTTTTATAGCAGAATTTATTAGGCAATGTGAAGAATGATTAGGTTTTTTCTGAGAATTAATATTGGATATAAAGTAAGTCGTGGAAAATTACTTCACTTTTACCAGCGGTTATAAATTTTATTATTTATGAATTTATCTAAAGTCAGATGATGGGTCGCTTTGTAGAGTTTGTCAATAAAATTTCAATTAATTAACTATTTAATTTGTCTTATCCTTTATATTTTATAATTTAATAGGCTATCATTACTTAAATTCATTTTAGCAATTTCATCATTTAATATTCTACTTGTACGGCATGCTAATGAATGTGACTTATGAGATTGCAGTGAATTATTATTGTCACTACTATTAATATTACTGTTACTACCACTACTATTACCACCACCACCACCACCACCATCATCATCATCACTGCTATTTTCATTAAAACTTGCAGTTTTATAAATTTCCTCAAACTTATCAACAGAAAACGCCCAAAGCTCTCTAATAGTTGGTCTCTTGGTTTGATCTACATCCCAACACTTTTGCATTATTTGTGCATAATCATCAGGCATTCCTGGTAATATTGGTGGTCGTAAGCCTTCACATATATCTACCATTAAGTGATGATTGTGAGCTCTATCATCAAATGGTGGATGACCTGCAAATATTTCCCACATTAACATTCCAACACTATAGATATCTGATTCTTTTGTGTTCTTGTTTCCTTTAAATATCTCAGGTGCAACATATGATATAATTCCATAAATTTTATTTGATGATTTTTCATCAACTGGTCCACATAAACCTAAATCTGTAATACAACTACTACCTCCATCCATTAATATATTACCACTGTGTAAATCACAATGTATCAAGTCTTTTTCATGTATATCATCTAATGTCTCACACAAACATTTAAAGATATTAATTCTACCTCGTAATGTTAAATTTGAATGATGTTTTTGTAAATAATCTCTCAAATTTCCTTCTGGTGCATAACCTAAAACCATCACATAATTTCCATTTTCTGGGAATCTAGTTATACCGTAACAATAAGCAATTAAATTTGATTTAATTTTACAATAATTCAGTGCCTGTAATTAATAATAATTATATAAATAAAATCAATTAATTTAAAATAAATGGTTTGGTTTAATTCTTTCTAATTTGAATAAAATCAATTACCTCATCAAAGAAAGGTTTTCCTGGTTTACTTGAATTATTTAAAGATTTTAATACTACATTCTGAGCTTCAAAATAATTAAATTCTTTTTTATTTTCATCATAATCACAAATAGTTCCTCTTGTCCATGCAGCAATATAAATTGAACTGAATCCACCTTCTGCTAACTTTTTTATATTTTCAAATTGCTTATAAGGTATCCATTCTATAATATGATTTGGAAGAGATGAAAGCTTTTGACATTTTTGAATAAAATTATCAATTATTTCATTTCCAGATGTCCAGGTACAAAAGAGACTTTGTAAATGAAGATAAATACACATTTCACAAAATTTATCAGAATATCTTGTTGTTTTACAATTTTTACATTTTCTTGGTTCTCCCAATTTATCAGTTGCATTTGCTAATTCAAACACATAAATAAACATTCCTCTGCAAAATTCTTTTTCATTTGCTAAAAGTTCTTGTTTTTCTTTGACTAATTGTAAAAAAAAACTTTTTTGATTTTCTCTGTCAGAAAAAGTTGAACAAGCATTATCATTCATTTCATCATAAATTTTAAATACCAATTTTTTTCTGCCTGCTGTCAATAATTTTTCAAATGACATTTTAACCTTGGTATTAATGATAATTTAATAAAAATTGTTGAGGGTATTTGATTACTATTATTATTGTAAATAGTGATAGTAATTTATGAATCACGGAAAATTAACATTAATAAATGATTTATTATTATTATATTTACGAAAGTTGCACGAAAGAAATCACATCAAGAATTCAAACCAGTTCAATTTGATATTATTACTGTAATAAGCCAATAAAATAATAATAAACATTAACTCGTGGAGTTATCAAGAAAGGTTATTCTGACGTTCTAAATTGTAAAGGACCTTTGATTTTTAGACGAAGGAATTTAAATGATTTGATCACTTTAGAAATAATTCTACGTAGAAGTCTCAAATAATATTTAAGAAATACATTTAATTGGAACAAATTAGGATTTCAAGAAATCAGATAACTAGATGATAGAACCTTCAAGATGTATAAATAACGTTGTAATTTTCTTAACTTTATGTATCATCACCATCCTCATTATCCTCATCATCAATGAATCAATCATCTTCATTATCCTTATCATCAATCAACCAAACATCGTATCATACTATTAATATCATCACTAAATAAATAATAAACTGTCCTTGTTCTTGTTGTTGTCTTCGAATTTTATATTTTTCGTAATGATAATAAATCTATCTCTAACAATGAATTCATACTAATCCCGATGCATAAATTTTCTCTTATTTTATATTTGTCTATTTTTTTTTTCTTTTCTTTTCTTTTAGTGAGGTAATATTTAATGAAATTTATTTAGTGAGGTTTAGGAAACGTACCTGACTTGAGTAGGGAGTAACAGATAGGAAGAGCACCCACCAAGGAACGTGATCGAGATATAGTGTGAAATCTAAAGAATATATTGCTTAGCAAGGAATTATTTAAATGATAGTGAAAGATAGCTTTGAGAATAAAGCATAAATATACATTCGCGGAAATTATTGTTACGATTTAGTATAAATAAATTGGAAGAAATTGTATTAACATTATTGGCATAAAATAAATAATCTTCGAGACTCGGGTGGGGTGTTCGGATATGAAATTCTGATTGGCTAATTTGAATTTCACATATTTAATATATGTGAATTGCAAATTCATTTTCACGCACATGATAAATGATTTCGTATTTTGAATGTGCTCACGTAGTGTGTGCATTCGTAAATTTGAATTTTATCTTGACTGCTTGAAGGTTGTGGTTGAATGTAAAAGGTTGAGTTCCGCGTGCTGAAATGGCCTGAGAGTAATTTTTCTACGAAAAAAAAAACGAAAAAAAATGTGGGGACGGTTGTCTTATTTATACTGCATGTTTTGAATTTATTTATTGTTTTGGCCCGAGCGATGTCATTTTTTTGCTCTTTGCGACGAAGAAGACGCACAATCTCAAACCCAATTTAAAATAAATGAATGCAAAAGCTCGCATTGCGTTCTCAGTTTTAAGCTTGTTACTATTACTATTATTACCAGGGATGTTAAATTTTTATTCCAGTGACAAATAACTGGAATATGGAACACTGGAACACCATCACCACTGGAGCACTCGATGAAAAGCATTGGGAAACACTTGTTAGATCTTGAAAATTTAAAGCTTGCTATCCTGATAAAATTGAATTTGTAGAAAATCATCTTGAAATAATCAAACGAAAAGAATTGAAAAATAGATCTAGTAAATATATAACAATTTAATTGATAAAATTACTAGAATATATATATATTTATTAATTGTTTTAGGTGATGCTGATATTATTAATATTGAAGATAATATTTTTTCAGAAATTTCTACTTCTGCTAGATCAATTAAACATGTAAGAAATGATTCTTCAACAAACCAATTAACATTAAATTCTATTATCTTGGTAGGCCTTTACAACCAAGTGAACAACAAACATTTGAAATTTTATTGTTAAGAATGACAGTCTCTAATGGCTAATCATTCCAATGGGTAGAAAATGAAAGAAACAATGGCTTTCTTTAAATTTGTTTATCCATTAGAAATTTTAAATTGTTTCTTTAAAAAAATTTCATTGGCTGAATTCCTGTGAAAAAGACTGGAACACTGGAACATAAAATCCTAGATTCCGAATTCCATTGCATAACAGCACTGATTATTACTGTTGTTATTGTTGTCATTGTTGTTAGTATTCTCAGTAGTTTTCATTATGTCTTGAAGTGATTCTGTCATTGTTGTTCTTATTCATAACCCTTACTTTCCTATTTAAATATTAGATCTTAATTTGAACCTAGGCAAGTACTTGTAATAATAAAGATATTTGATGTGAATATTTCTTTCTTTCTGTATATTCCAAATGAATGTATAGCAACACGCAAAACTTTTTTTTAACAGTACTTTCATAAAAGTTTGACAAGAGTTTGGGCGTTTTGTTTTCTGTTCTTTTCATCCAAATAAAAACGAGAAATAGAATAATGACATCCAGGACATTCATTAGCTAAATGAGCCTTGAGTTTAAAAAGGTGTTCCACGATTCCGGGTTTTTGGACAATATTTGCAAGATGCTGTGTAATGTCCTTTTATTTTTTCCCTTCCTTTAATGAAGTGTAACCATACATCAGACACAGGACGTCCTGTAACTAATTCTTGATTATTGTTTAATGAACTTTCGGACGTATTATCTAAATTTAATGTTTGCAAATTCGTATTATATGATGATGATTGAGAAGGAATTGATGAATTGGGTGAATTTGAATTTGACATCATGAATTTTATTAAATAAATAAAGATAGTCTCTAGTAAGCAAGTTGCTTATATAGAATTCAAAAATATCATATCAGAAGTGCAGGGAGGCAAGTGAGGGCCTGCTATGATTACTTTGAAAATATTATTGGTAATCCAGCATTTGGTGGTAGTGGCAATATAATAAAATTTGATATTAAAAGAATAACAAAAATTAAGAACTGAGATGTTGTATAGATTTTATTATTATACTTTTGTCTATAAGGACGGAATATCACATGATCATCTAGGCGCCTGGCAACAGGTAGACAAATGGTGAGTATAGGGACATTCAGTATGGTATAACTCTTGCAAAACGTATGGTATGGTATTGTATAAGTGTAATAAAATGGTTGTATACCAATGCTTAAATCTAACATACTTCCCTTCACACCACCAAAAAAGGATTTAGAATAAAATTTTGTGTGACTTGGTACGGAAAAATATGGGCTATACCATACCATACCATACGTTCTGCAAGAGTTATACCATCTGAATCTCTCCCTACCGACAAATGATTTTGTTGAATATTGCAAAAATATACAAGATACAATTATGACAGTTCATGCACCCATGTTTAAACAACAATATTATGTTTCGTTGTCATTTTACTTTAATGAAATCTTTTTTCTTTTGCAATAGTGTATATCCAATCGGCTTCACTTCAGCATTTAATATAGCAATCTTATTGATCAAACAAATGAGGTCTAGTTTGATTAAGATACGTATCATTTGGACTTTTATTAAGTCTCGATCTATAATTGGTAAACTTATCACTACAAAGGTTTGGTGACTGGGATCCAGGAAATTCATCTTTGTTGTATTTTACCAATCTTTTAATGGGTATAATAAAAATAATAACTTACAAATTACCAAATATTCTAACACATTTGTCAACTATTCAGCTTTTTTCCAAATTTAATGAAGAATGGTATGATGCATCAAGTAGGGTTGATGAGATTGGTTTTGGCAATATTATTTTTTTAAAATAGTATATGGATTACTAATAATGATTTTGATCCATTGAGTAAAGCTTTCCTGTAAGGAAATCACAATTATGCAACTTTCAAAAAATCATGCTTTAATAATAATAACCCATCAGACTGAAAATCAACTTTACGTGATAAAAAGATGTAAATTGCTTATTGGATCACAAGAAATTACATTAGCTTTCACAATAGACTTTATTAGATATTTTTCATAATTATGTTGCCTTTCCTCTGGGAGCAGAAGATAAGAAAATAATGGCTCGCTATTATCAATATTACTGTGCGAATTTTTTTCTATTGCAAGTTCCAAATGATGCTTCTTTCATGAAGTGATTATCTTCTGTTTTAAAGGTTATGACACAGACGAACTCTGTTAGATATAGAATGCTAATCAATCAGGGGATAAAATAATGATAACTCTTGAACAAAGAATAAAGACATTCACATCGAAAGAAATAATGGAATCAGAAAGATGACAAAACGGACAAAATTAATAATATTCTTTTCTTTTAAATTTGTAAAGTAAATCGTATATATATCACATATTACTTACTACTTTGTTTTTTATATAATAACAATATTAGTCAATTAATTCATTCATCGCATACTTCAAGAAGCTCAAAAGTCTCGGGTAAAATATAACTTTTTAATAATAAATAAATATTTATTTATTTTTCAAAGAAAATAAATACACTTGGAGAAATACTTTTTTTTTCAAATAAAATAATAATATTATTTTTAGTTCAATTATCTGACAAAGCAGCTTTAAAATACAAAGGCTTTGTTTTTTAAAATGTAGAATGAGCTTTGTGAGTTTTCACGTCCGACATTAATTTCTACATCATAAAACCAACAATGTTCACGAGTTTACCAATATATTTTAATGTAAAGTTGATATCTTTTTTTTTGCTGGATTTTTTATTTTTTATTTTTATTTCTTTTAAAATAGAACAAGAACGATTGTTTATTAAAATTTTTTTTCTTTATTAATCTCTATTCAAAAAAACAAAAATAATATTAAACTGAAGCCGAAACGAGAGGTTGTTAGATCGTGTGAAATAAAATTGATCGGGTTTTGATTATTAATTTTTTTAGGGCCCGTCACTCAAAAAATAAAATAAGTTTAGCGTGCTGTTTTTTAAAAAAAATAATTAGAACCTAAACACACTCATTTTAAAATAATTTTTTACTTATTTCTACTTTATGCATATAAATATGCACAAAAGAAAGATAAATGTTATTATTAAGAAAATAATTACATAAATATTACATAATTTATATGACTATTTTTATTTATTGGTTTTATTTTCTCGCGTGTATTTTATTTTAATTTAATTTTAAATTAAAAAAAAAATAATTGATTATTGATTCCCTCGTGAACGCAATGCAAACTTCCTTGTATATACTTTATTATATTTTATAAAATGTTGATATAATCGATACAAATAAGGAATATCAATGTAAACACTTATGATATTTAAACCAATCAATCACATATATTATTAAAATGTTAATAAAAAACAATTTCCATTCATACAGCACAGTTTTAAGTTACAAGCACAAACAAAAAAAGCTGATCATCCATTATTCGAAAAAAAAATTTTTTCCTAAAATTAACTGTTTGCATTCATATAAGAATCAAAATATAAATATTTTTTCAATTTCGAAAAAAAAAACCATAAAATTTTCTTTTATAACGTGTAAATTTTTATTTAATCCATTTTTTACTGGCGGAAAAAAGGAAAATTTTATAATAGGAAAAAATAAATATATATATTTTAATTTATAAACATATTTTCTTTAATAATATACTTTTTCTTCATCATAAGCATAAATTTATAATAATCATTCAACACACATTCAAAAAAAAAAAAAAAATAATTCTGTAAATATTTTCAATTAATAAAAATATACGCACACACATATAGCATATAAATAGAAAAGACGTATAGAAAATGATGTCAATGACAAGATCTTTTAGTAGATCCTCAACATCATCGTCGCCATCGTCATCCTCTTCACCGACACCAAAATTTCTTTTTAGATCATTTTCAACATCATCATCAACACTATCATCAACGTCATCAACGTCATCAACGTCATCAACGTCAACACCAAAATCATCACCAATAAAGTCATCATTATCAAAATCACCAAAATCATTACCAAAATCACCAAGGTTATCATCAATAAAATTATCATTATCAAAATCATTATCAAAATCTATGACAACATCGTCATTACCATCAAAATCAACAGTAAAACCTTCGTCGCCCACGTCTCCTAAATCACATTCAACTCCTGAATCATCATTTTCATCTCCACCTTCATCATCACCGATTAAGCCAAATGCACCAGATGATAAAACATATCGTCTAGTTAACAAAGCTAACGAATATTACTCAAAAAAAGAATTTAAATTAGCAATTGGTTTGTTAATTTATTAATTGATTGATTGAGTTTGAGATTTAGTTTGAGATTTAGTTTGGGATTGAGTTTGGGATTGGGATTGGGATTTTTTATTTAATGCTCCTTTATCTAATCTAATCTAATCTCTATTTATAGATGAATTCACCAAAGCTTTAACAATTTTAAATTCATCATCACCGTCGCCGTCGCTGTCGTCATCAGATTTCATTGTTTTAATATATTCAAATCGTAGTGCTAGCTACTATCAATGCTCACAATGGCAAGAAGCGGTAGACGATGCAAATCAAGTTATAAGGATTAGAGCTGATTGGCCAAAAGTAATAATAAATCATTCATTTTTATTAATTTAAATAATGAAACACTTATATATATGATATGCATGATATTTGTGTTTTTTATAGGGATATTTTAGGAAGGCGGAAGCACTTGTAAAACTTGAAAAATATGATGAAGCGATTGAAAATTATTATAATGCAAAATTAAAGGTTGATAACAATAACAATAATCATTAAACTTAATTTTTTGAAACATTTAATTAATGGTATATAAATATTTAGGATCCACAAAATCACCAAATATCTTTAAGAATTGCAAAGACATTAATATTAAAGGATAATAAAGCAATGGGTAATTAACCATTTATCTATTAATCCATTCATCATCCCATCTGCCCTCCTCCTCATTCAATTAGAAAAATTTTTTTTTAAAAAATTCAGGATTGGCAATTTATACACTTGTACCGGGTCGAGATATTTGCCTATCAAAAAACTCTTCAATGATAACGAGCCCAATACAAAAAAAAATTCATGAGTTTGCAATAGAAATGAAAAATCTTATTCATCTGATAGTAGATGTCGAAACTAAAAAGTGTGTTGTAATAGACGCTGTAAGTGTTTATGCTTAAATAAATATTTCTAATAAATATTTCTTCTAATCATATTTTACATTATAATTATTGTTTATGATCTAGTGTTGGGATATTGATGGGATTTTAAGATTTATTAGAAAGAAAGATTTAAATTTAGTTGGTGCAATTGTAACCCATTATCATTTTGATCATGTGGGAGGTAACCAATCGACAAAACATTCATTCATTCGATAATTTCATATGCCAAAATTTAACTTTTTTTTTTTCAAAAATTTTTGCTCATGCAGGTTCACCACCGCCTCCATACAATCAACTGCCAATAAAAGTTTCGGGTCTTTACACCCTAATGAAACGAGCACCAACAATATCATGCTACATAAATACACTAGATCTCCCATATGTTCTAAAATCAAATCCTAATCTTTTAGAATTCCAACAACCACAACATAATCATCGTATAATACCCACCACGAATCAATTCATATTACCGTTAGGTAATCTAACATTATTGAGATTTTTGCATACACCAGGTCACACTGAAGGAAGTCAATCAGTGTTGGTGAATGAGACAAGATTGTTTACGGGTGATGTGTTGATGTGTAGTTGTAGTGGTAGGGTTGATTTGCCAGGTGGTAATCAAAAAGAGATGAGAAAAACGTTGAGAGAACGATTGGCTCGGTTGGATGATCGTGTTATCATTTATCCGGGTCATGATTATGGTGGTGATTGGACTACTGTTGGACTTGAGAAAAGAAAAGGTGTTATTGGTAGATTAAAAAAACATTTGAGTGTCTAAAAATTTTCTTTAATGATATGTATGTATGAATAAATTATGACAATAAATAAATAAATAATAATAATGTTTATTATTTTGTAAAATAAAAATTATGTTTTTTGTAATAAACATATTAAATTTTTTTTTTTATTATATTAAAATTAGTAGTATAAATAATCAAAAAATATATATATTAAAAAAAATGAATAAATAAATAACAACAAAAAAAATTTTTTGTGAAAAAAGAAAATCTTGACAAGTTGTTGCTGTTGTTGTTTTGTAGTTATTGTTGATGTATTTATATAATTGATGTTTTTACTATATTGATTTTTAAATTTTTTTTTTCTCTTACATTCCTTTTTTTTTTTTTTTTTTTTTGCTATTATTAATTATTAAATTTTTTTTTTGAAATTTTTTTTTTAAAATAATTACTTTTTTTTATATATAATAAATATAAATATAAAATTAAAAAAATTTGGTTTTAAATCAAGTCTGCCACATTCATTGGCATTTCGTCAATTTGTGTATTATAAAATTGTTCTAATTAATAAAAAAAATCAATTAAATATATAATAATGTCAGATATAGATAAATTGTTAATAAGAACACATAAATAACAATAGATTGATTAATTACCTATATCTCTAAGCATTCTAACATCATCACTAGTAACAAAATTGATAGCAACACCTTTTCTACCAAAACGACCTCCTCTGCCAATACGATGAATATAATTTTCACGATTTGTAGGAAGATCATAATTAATAACCTAGAAAAAAAAAAAGAGTGAGCGAGCGAGGAAAATGAAAAAAAAGGAATATTTACATTCACATTTACATCTATATTTACACACACACACGTATATTATCTGTCTACCATCAAATATCTATCAGAATCTCAACAAAAAAACTTACCAATGATACTTGTTGAACATCAATACCACGAGCTAAAATATCAGTAGCAATAAGTACACGAGAAGATCCTGACCGGAATTCTTTCATGATAACGTCTCGTTGAGCCTGATCCATATCACCATGCATAGCCGAAACAGTAAACTCCCTAGAATGTAATTTATCAGTCAACCAATCTACTTTTCTTCTGGTATTACAAAAAATAATGGCTTGGGTGATGGTGACTGTTTCGTATAAATCACATAATGTATCAAGTTTCCATTCTTCTTTTTCAACCGAAATATAAAATTGCTATAATATGTATCATTAATATAAAAATAGTTAACATAAACCATAAATATATATACACATACACCCATATATACCAACATAAACTCCCCCATCCCCTCTCACCCCTTACATCTCTCCCATTACCTTAATACCCTCTAATGTCAATTCATCACGTTTGACCAAAATTCTAACAGGGTCGCGCATAAACTTGTTGGAAACTTCAAGAACGTCAGATGGCATGGTAGCAGATAAAAGAACAACTTGTGTAGTTGGTGGAAGTAATTGGAAAACATCATATATTTGTTCTTTGAAACCACGTGACAACATTTCATCCGCCTCATCAAGCACAAACATCTTTATGGAATCGGTTTTCAAAGCTCTACGATTAATCATATCGAATACACGTCCCGGGGTACCGACAACTACATGAGCACCAGCCTCTAGTTTCTTGATTCCCTCACGAACATTCGTGCCGCCAATTGTCGCGTTACACTCAACGTTCATAAAATCGCCGAGCGCGATCACCACTTTTTGAATTTGTTGCGCCAGTTCACGAGTTGGTGCAAGAATAAGTGCCTGGCATTGACTGATTGACATGTCGATTTTTTGAAGAATGGAGATTGAGAACGTAGCGGTTTTTCCCGTTCCAGATTGTGCTTGAGCGATCACGTCATGATTTTTTATAACTGGGATAATGGCTCTTTGTTGAATTGCAGATGGTTTTTCGAAACTTTGTTATTATTGTTATGAAATTATATTAAAGTGATTTGATATGAAAAAAAAATATTTATTATAATTGTAATTATATTAATAATAAAAATCATTATATGTTTTAGATAAATAAATAAATAAATGCATGTATACACACCCATATGCATAAATACCACGAAGCAACTCAGGCTTTAGATTCATATTATCAAAATTATCAACAACTTCATCCCAAGTCGACTATATAAATTGAATAGAAAATTTAATTTATAAAAAAGAGTATTGCTATTTTTTTCTTTATAAATTAAAAAAAATCCTTACTTCGATCTCTCCTTCAGGGATATCATTGAGTTCTTCTCCTCTATATTATTAAAGAATTAGATCAAATGTGAATTTCGTTTTCAAAAAAAAATATATTTATTATTATTGTTGCTGTTATTCTTTCTTTAATTTGTCATCATTATAATACATAAGAAAAATACACAATTCAAAATCTTTTTCTCCTATCTCAAAAATTTTTTTTTTCAAATGTTTTACTTTAATTAATATACACTTAATTTGATTGATTGATTAATTTAATTATTTTCTCCAATTGTGTTTTTTATTTTTTATTTTTTTGATACTTACTTACTCATATTCTAAGTTGATTATAAATAATTAGATTTTAAAGAAAAATTTATTTTTTAAATAAATGCAAACACAAAAAAAATTTTTTTTTTTCTTGAGATGTTTTTAAATTCCAAATCTGGTACACCTTTTAAAACAATACTAATATATACTAATCATTTATCACTGGTTCATTTTTTGTTAGTATAGTAATAGGAAAATAGGAAAATTGGGTTTTGTGTTGCACAATTTTTATTGGCCACCAAAAATATTTTTCCATTATTATTATCAAGTTCTTTTGGATCAATATACTAAGCTATATAATGGAAATTATTTTAGCATTAATTTATCGCAATTGAATACTCAGTGACAAATGATGGAATAGAATCATAGTTATTATCTAAATATTTGATGGAATTTTTTTAATTGTAACATCAAGTTATAATTTAAAATGCGCGATACAGATAAATGGGGCATACTGCAACAAAACCAGACAGTGAATATTGATATTAACTAACAATTTCAGGGATCAAAATTTAGTAATGTGATTATTATTATTAAAATCCTCCATTTGTTCGTTATATTTGTTTTTTTCTTAGTTAAATATAGAATTGCCCCTATATAAAAATAGTTAAATATGAAGTTAATTTACATTATGTACCCAAAAATTACAGCACCATTAGAGGTATGAAGAAAGAACAAGGTGAAAAAATTGCTCCCTGTATTTTCAAAATAAATGATACTCAACACTGGAAGCTTATCTAAGAAAAGAAAGGATTACTTATGATGAAATTTACCAAGAAGAGAACATACCATTACAAAACAAAAGATTGAAACTTTGGACAAAAATGAAGAATAAACCCTTTACTAATAAAGTGTATAATTGCGAATGTCATAAAAGATTTTTTTTTTTTTGATAATTTTATAAATCTCTTTAAATACTAATCATAATGCATTGATAGAATGAACAATTAAGTTCATAATATAAAAATCTTTAAAAAATCTCAACTTACATATAATTTAAAGTTAATATTAATATACATAAAAAATAATAATAATTGAATTACTCATATAGGAGGTGTCTTTAATATGGCAAATGTCATAAGCAATAAATTATCAAGATGACTTGGTGGTGTTTGAAGATTATCTGGTTCAAATAGATTGTCGATTTTTTTAATTCTATTGACATTTTCAATTATTATTGAGTTAATTTCTCGACGAAAGGGATTATTACGGAATCGTTAATACTTATTGTGTACTAAAAATCTTAACCATTGTGAAAAATGGGTTATAATCATGATCTAAAGTATATACAGTACAACAAATTTACTTTCTATATTAAAAATCATTTTTATTAGTAAAACAAATTTAATCATATTATTCTTAAAGTAAATATAATGATACACTAAACTAAAAACGTGAATTGCTATCATTTTCAATTTATCTAGTAATTCTATGCATTTTTGATTACCGCCATTTCTTCGAACATACTAATACTATTCCAAGATTCGATGAACCATGTTGTTGACCTCCACATATTCGTGTTCTTCTACACGGCACACAGCTACCCCAGTCACCGTATGTGTCCCACTGGCTGGCTTGATGAACATGGTTGACGACAAGATAGACGACATAGCAAATAATCAAAATTAAAGAAATACTATGCAAGTAAAAAAGATTCTTTACTCATTTTTGCCAATCTTAGTCGATCTTCATTGATGTGATCAATAACGTTGCTTTTGTACCATATGATACTTCAATAAACAACAATTCATATCTATATTTAAATATTTTTCCTATTAGGGTCCACATATAATCCGGAAATCTCGTGGGTCCATCTTTGCCATTTCTTGTTTGTCGTTTGGCATTTTTCTCTATCACTAAATAAAATAACCACATTAGTCTTTTATATATATTTTTTTTTAATGTCTATTTAGTAGATTTATTACCATAATCTGATGATATCATCAATGTTGCGAATGGGAATCTTAGTATTGGAGAAATTAAATCATCTCGCCACGTATCTTCGTTGATTTTTATTTCTTGATCTAAATAATTATGCGATTCCCAAATTGCTTTCTAAAAATATATATATTATCATATAGTGAGTATTAAACTATACATATTGTCAAAATTAATTTGGCTTTGACTAATTCCTAAAATCTCAATTTTTAATTGCGTCTGACTCAATTATTTATATGTTTTTCATATTGCGTCAAAAAGTCACCTAACTGATTGAGTAAAGTTATCATCCTATTTCTACCACATGTATATCTTTCTCACCAGTGTTGTAATCCTTATAATATAGATATAAATTATGCAAAAAACTCAATTTTGGTCAGAGAGGTCCCTAACCAAGAAATCCCCCATATCTACGGCAAAAGGGAGCTTGTATTGTATAGTAATAGAGATTTTAATTTAATATTCATTTCTTTACTAAGTAAACAGGGTCTGATTTTCATTAATTATAATTCTTATAATATAGATATATATTATGCAAAAACTCAATTTTGGTCAGGAAGCTCCATTTTGCTAGAGAATCCCATATACTTACACCAGCAATTATTTTTTTGAATTTTTTTTAAGATTCACTTCGGAATCTGATGAGCTAAATATTCCTGTGTTGGTAGTAGTGACAACTAGGTCATTTGTTTCCACTTTGGATATATTCACGATTTTTTCTTGAATATTTAGGAAATTAAAAATGACATAAGTGTTAAGCAACTTTTTTTACCTGAAATACATCACAAAAGAATCTATGTAATAACTAGAGTGACAACGAGTGGTGATAACCGCCACTATTCTTATGATAAATACTTACCCAGCAGTTTCCTGCCAATTGTCTTCTTTTTTTCTTTTGCGAGTATTAGTTTTTGACATTTTTAAAAAAAAAAAGAAATTGTTATTATTAGATCGACAAACGTATTTATGATTTTTTTTTGGAAAAACAAAGATGACAAAACGTGGTTCTCCAAAAGAAGTGTTTAATAACTAACCAGAGGTACTTTTTTTTATTTGTATTGATATAATGTGGCGACCTTTAATTTATAAATATTTTAATTGGAATCAAAACACAGAGCAGAACTCGTGGGTAATTATAAGATCCTTATCAAGATGGCAACAAATGGACGATTGGTACTTTGCTTTTTGTAATCGTTATTAATATTATTATTATAAATATATATCAAGGCAGCACACTGTTTCAGAAGAAACAATTCAATATGAACATTTCGATATATGACGTTTGATTATCGGAAATTAGCAGACGTTGAAGCACGCACACCACCTACCAAGATTTCCCCGATGATACAATATTGCAATCGAATTCTAGGGGGACCACATGGCCCTGGGGTTTACTGAGACTGCATCAATCGTCAATGATACTTTTCACTAATCTTCCCTCACAATATCTGACCAGAGAAGGCAAGCATGGCGGGCTTTCTCTGTGATTGGCTGACGCATAATGAATGATTTACGCCGATCATTACTATTAATCAATTTTTTTAATGTTATCCTCAAGAAATTTCAAGACAATCAAATGACTTTATTGACAGTATCTATACACATAATTTATCAAAACTCTAGATTGAAAACCTCTATTGCTATCATAATGACAAAAATGCATGTAATAAAATGCACCTATAGTTTGAAGCAACGTAAATATAATATCTATCATCTGAATGACAAACTTGAAAAAAAGTATATCCCCACATTCAATTAAATATTTTTATTCATAAAAAAATATTTATAGATGTTGAACATATCAGCCGATTTGGTTTTTTGGGCCTTTTTTTCAAACCTTATGTTTTATTGTGTCTCGATGTTAAACACGAGTATTTTTAATGTGTAAACTGGTCAGTAGAATGATAATTAACCCTAAAAAAATTTATTTGCTCCGCTAAAAAAACTATTTCACTATTCAACAGCCCGTCAAACCAATGGCTCCACCTCAAAACCAATGGGTTTTTGCTAGTGTAAAGTATTCATAACGTTATGATCATACCGTACTGAATTTTGTGGACCAAACAAAATCAGTGCATATGAAGCTTGCATTGAACTTTGCATCTTGTCATTACTTAATGTGCATCTAATTATAATACTTCTAATGGTGCTATAATTCTTGGGTTCCATAGTAGATCTGATGTAAATGAGTTTCATATTAACTATTTTTATATATAGTTCTATATACCAATTAAAAAAAAGATAACAGATGGGAGATTATAAAATTGTTAAGTCATAATAATAATCACATTACTAAATTTGAACCCTGAAGTTCTTGGTAATACAAATGTTCACTTGTCTGGTTTTGTTGCAGCATGCTCTAAATGTTCTAAACTGGAATGCATTGATTAATTTCTTTAAAATATTTATCAAATCAGCAAGGTACATTGTTGCAGAAATATCGTCTAATAGAGTTTATCTCCAATATAATCATTTAAAGTAGATAATACAGATTTCATGATTTTATGTAAATCGCTCACAGAATTTGAAAATGATAACCACACACATACAATATTACAAGTGATGGATGGTTCTTCATTAATCTCTTAATTATGATAAAAACTATCAATAAAAAAAAAATCGAAAAAACAATTTATTACCCGCATCAACTTTAACATTGTCTTTTATGAGATTTTGAAAAATAACCATACAAGTTTTTTCATATTTTTAACTCTTGTGAGGCATTTTAGCTAGGCGAAGTCTGTGCTCCGTGAACATCAATTTATATCATGTGATTTTATTAACAGTCTAAAAGTCATTGCCAACACTGCTTTAAACAGCCGATAGGGGGTTTCCTTTATTTATTATATTTGCTTCTTTCTTTACTTCTTCCTTTCTTTGCTTCTTCATTCCTGTTCCATATATCCTTATTGCTTTAAATTAACATAACGAGATTTATTATTATTAAACTTCAAAAAAAAACAAGAGTGTATTTATTAATAGAGCATGGCTATTATTAAAATTTTTTGGTTCGAACAACTATGTTATTCGAATAAATGCATTACATGAATATATAATGATACATGTCTTGAATAAAATTATGATGTTTTGAAATTTTTTGTAAACACGCATAATTTTTGAACGAATTCTTCGGAAGTTAAGTCAATGTGGCAGAATCATCAGTTTATAATAATAAAAACAATGTACCGACTAAAATATACCTAGAATGCTATTAAAAAATACCTTTTTGAAAAAAGTTCATACACAAAAAATCCAAAATTAATAAGAGGATCAAAATATTTAATTCGAATATTCGAAATTCGATAGTTCGATCTCAAAATTACTGATTTATATGGTTCGAACCTAGAACGTTCGATTTGACGCAAATAAAATTTCAGATTAAATTGTCCCCATGTGAAACTAAAAACATTGGTTGTGGGCAAAACTGTGAACAAAGATTTTGTGACCTTTCACTTTAAAATTTTTAAATAAAGGACGATTTTTTAAAAGATCACCACTTTGTCCACATTATTTTATAAAAAAACCATCTAATTTTTGATTTTCGAATCTTTCTTTCTCTCAATAAATTATCCTTTATAAATAATTTATTATTAAAGATTATTTATATCTCTCTAATAAATAGTATTATTATCATCTACCAAATCTTTGGTCAACTTTTGAATATTTTCTAAGTCCTTCTATAAATATTGTATAATGGAATTTATTATTATTAGGTACATGACTAATAAATAAATAGAATAAATAAAATAAATGATTTTAGTATCAATTTAATATATGTTATATTATTGAAATTAATTCAAAAATTCCTGGACACTACTTACAATATTTCAGTTAAATGAATATGCCAAGGTGGAAATCCATCGAATTCAATTCTTGGAGAAAATAAAATTAAAAGTTGTGGTTCTGGAAATTGTGGAACTGTTATATTTGATTTATTATTAATATTTATTAATTCATTCTTAATTCGTTGGTCGAAGGAAGGAAAAAACTCACTGCTTAATCTTTTATCAAATTCTCCAACATCAATCTCATCATTTTTAACTTTTTTTAGCTTCACTTCTTCAGCCAATGATCTAACCACTTTTATTATGTGATCTCTTCCTTCAAAGCGTGAAATTAAATTGATTTGTAAGTCTACTATTTTATCTATCAATCAGTCAATTAATATTAGGGAAGAATACATATATCATTAGAAATAGGGAGGATAACGAGAAGGATAAAAAAAAAAATATGAAAAATTTTTTTTACCTGATTTATTATTATAATCATCTTTTACATTATTATTATTATTATTTATTGATGATGATGATGATGATGGTGGTGGTGGTGATGATGCACCTAATGATGATGATACTCTTATAACAGGTGGAGGAATTATTATATTATTGTTATTGTTAATAAAAAAATCATGAGAAATTATATCAATATAAGATTGTAATAATTGAACATAATTTTTTAATTGACCTTTTTTAAAATAGAAAGAGAGAGAGAAAAATAGATGAGCGGGTAGGTGGTTGGTGAATCGAAGAAGAAGAATTGGAAATAAATAAAGAAAGTAATTGGTAATAATAATTAATAAATATCACTAATCAGTCAAATAATTCAATCAATCATCAATCAATCAATCAATCCATCAACCATGCAATTTAATACAATTAAAATACCTTCACTCTCATAAATACTCAATATCTTAATTCCAGCACATTTACACCAACAACATAATTCTGCCGCTTCCTTAATCATTTTTATTTCCTTATCAATGTTATTGACATTGTTACTATTATTGAAATTTCCCCAAAACATAACACCAAGGTGTTTTGGTATTTTATCTAAATCTTTAAGATCATTTAAAACTTGCGAAGAATTGGTTGGTTTCTTGAATTTTTTATTTTTACAATGCGTTATTTTGAATAAAATTTTATATTGAAAATATAATAAATGTAAAGTATAATATAATATTTTGTAGACAATAGTAGGATTTATAACAGAAAATAGTGATAGTGATAATAGAATGATAATACTAATTAATAGTATCATTTTTGAGAAAGAGAGATTTTAAAAATTGGATGTAGCACATTTACACATGCTTTCAAGTTTTTCAAAATTGAAAACTGCGGTCTAAATTTACTATATATATATTAGGAATTTGCTGCGATGATCATCACTAAGTTTAGAATAGTTACGAAAATTATAATAATATTTAGGGTAAGGCAATTTTAATGAGATTTTTTAATTTGTAATATATTTTTATATTTATTATAGGAACCTAAGTTGAACATAGCTTTACATTGTTCTATTACTTTATAGATAAAATGAAAACCAAAGAACTACTATAACTAAACTTACTCTTCCAGATATTTCAGACAATGATTCAAAATCAGTAAATGTTCGATAATACATGAATAATTATCAAGATGCAATTTCCAGTGTATTAGTGTTGATGATCCTACTATTTTTAGTGATGCTTTTGATTATCCAGATTAAAAATATCATATTACATTACCATTTAAAAGATCAAACAATTATAATAAAATAAATTTAAATTTATTACTATTAATATTATTGCTATTAAATACTTATTATTTCAACAATTGTATCTTTAATATTTGTTTGTATACTTATATAATTTATAATGTTTTGCATTTTATAAATAAAAAAATTAGACTATCATAAAATTTAACCGTGTTTGAATTTTTCTAGTACACGGGGATAATTATTTATACCCTTTAGCAAAAACAGCCAAGCATCATACTGTGAAGTTTAATGATATTTTTATTAAATGATTCACTAATTTGTATTTTACTATATATTTCGAGAAGTGCTTGTTTATGAAATTGACAAATTAATGAATAATAAAGTAATACCTTATTTTTATGTTTTGCAAATCACATAAGTCACATAATATTTGATCTTGAGTTTAGGCGAATGAATGAATGAATAAATCAAAAGTGAGTGGGCATTCTCAATCTCCAACCATAGATTACGAGACATCACCGAAATTAAGTATTATGGGGGAGGGATGGGGTGAGGTAATTAGTATTACCAATCTAACTTTATCGTTGGATCAATTTTGAATTAAAAAATCAACATTTGAACTTACTTATCCTGTCCTCTTGAATGAATCCCAATAACTATTCTAATACCTTTAACTATTGCTTTTGTAAGTAACATGACAATCCTTGTATCAATTTATCTATAATTAAAATCACCATTTCCCAAAAAACATTTCTTACTAGAATCGTTTGCTCGTGCAAATAGTCTACAGTTGGTGTTGAAAGCTAGATAATTAATCGATTCCTTTTTTGATGATGATGACGATGATCATTATTATATGCTAAATATCAATGACCAGATGATGGATGGATGATGTAGTAGAAATAGTAGGAGTGGAAGATATAGTTTTCATAACACTTATCACGTTCTTCGTATCTAATAAAATTGTTATTATTGTTCTTATATCATTATACCCATCAAATCATGATCCCGGTCTATGGTTGATCCCCATTTTTTTATTAATATTAAGCAAACAGGGTCTAATATTTTCACTGATGTGTTATTATAAAAAATACAATTAATAATATTGTTGTCATCCTGTGCCCCATTCAATATTAAGGGGAAAAACGACCAAAAATTTTTCCTGTTACACAGTTTCTAATCAATAACATCTTCTTGGTGTCAAACAAAACATATTTTATATGAATTTGAATTGGAGAAAATCGTACAATTATGGGAACTCGAGGTTTATATTGCTTCTTGTATAAAGGAAAATATTATATAATCTATAATCATTGGGACTCATATCCTGAAGGGTTAGGAGAAACTCTTCTTGAACAACTTCAAGGATTTAGTTTGCAAGAATTACGCGAAAGATTGGTACATAATATTATTATATGCGATGGAAAATATCCAGAAATCACACAAGAAATCGTAGATAATTTTCGAACATTCATAATGCAAGACGAGTCTTATTTTGAATCTTGGTTACGTCGTTCTTCTATGTACATCAAAAATAATGAGACAGGAAATCTTGAAGCCATTATTAGGCGTAGCTCTGGAACATTTTACACCTGGATATGCAAGACATATGATTCTTTAGAAGAAAAATGGTCCTTCTTGCTAGGAAGAATTTTTTGTGTAGAAGGACTTTGCCTAAAAAAGGTTTTATCTTTAGGTTATTTACTCCTTGAAGAATTTCCAACTGAGAGGGCCCCAGAGAATGATCTTTGGATTGAGTGGATATATATTATAGATTTAGATGAAGAAAAATTCTTGGTGCAAAGTAATGAAGGTGATGAATGGGAATTCAAACTTGAAGAAATATTGATGGATGTTGGTAATTCAGAAAAGTCTTTGGCGAAGAAATTGATTTAATATATCGAATAGATTAAAAAAATCAATACAAAGAATGAGACATATCATGAAAGAAAACAAAAGTTACAATAAAAAATATAATTTCTTCAACCAACACTATTAATAGGTTGAAAAAAATTTTTTTTTTCTATCATTATAACAAAATCACAAGTGTTAATAATTACTGTATTGATTTTATATTTTATATTAATAAAATAAAAAATACATTTGCATATTTCTATTGCTGTTCGACACTAATCATTGGTAAGGCTGTTGTCCAACAAATTCTTTGTTAGAGCGCTTCCTTTGTTTATCTTTTCGAAATAATACATATTGATACTTATTATGTCCAACATGCAAGCAGAATCTATATTGGGCCGATGAGGGAGGATTTTATTATATATGTTTGTTCTCATACAAAAGGAATAGCATAAATTTCATGTGACATCAATCCGACTTTTCTGATGAGAATCATGTGATTTTATTTTAAAAGAATTAAAAAAATTGAATAGTCTAATTCTTTTTCGCACTTGGTGTAAGATATTTATTTATATTAAATTTTCAATGTGAAAAGTCCTTCTCATTTCTTTAATTCTAATCCCTTCTTTTATTTCTCTTTAAACTATTGAGCAAAGCTAGAAATCGTATATTTGATGCACATATTCACTAGTTTACCAATTTTAACAATTAATAGTTAATAATGAATTACATTAAGGAAATATAGTAAATAACTAATAATTCCAATAAAATATTACAAATATAATAAATTTCTTTGCAATTATTTGATTCGAAAGGACGCGTGTGAATGAGTTGATCACAACATTATCCCGAAAAGGAAATCTCGCAATTCGATATATTTTCGTTTCACACAAATTTTTTTTGTGTAATTATACAAATTTTTAAAATAAAAAAAAAAATGAGTGAAAAATCACTGCCTAAAACTCCTGCTAGTAGTATTAGTCAAACTCCTACGACACCAAATGAAAGATTAATTGAAAAATTGTTTGAATCCATTAATGATCAAGTATGTATTATGTTATATATATATATGAGATAGAGGTTGATTAACTAGTTTAATCTTAATTTTTTAGATATTAGAAGAAATCGAAGAAGAAGAATTTTTAGTAGATAATGACTGGGATATATCTTTTGACGAGGTAGATGGTTAGTATATGTATGCGTGTGAATGTTTTGTGTGTGCACATAGAATTGTAGATGAGGCATCTAATTAGTTTTATTTTAATTAGAAAGATTATCTGAATTTCAAGAAGAAGCATTTGTTCATGAAGCATTTACCAAGGTAATTAATTGATTGTTAAATTGATTAATTATATGTTAATAATTATGTTTATTTATTTAATTTATTTTTTAGGGAATAGATTTGAGAGAATATGCACATAATATTGAACATGAACTTAAAATGATAGAACGAGAACATGAATTGAATTGTATCCTGAGTTGAAAATTTCATAGAAAATTTCATTATTATAATTCTTTTAAGAAATTTATTATTATTATTATTATTATTATAAAATCATCTTTAACTTGTATGTGAAAAAAAGATGTTAATCAAGCAGAAAATTTTGTAGATCTGCATAATCAAATTCAGGTGCTTACAATTACAACTACAATTTTTTATTTTCTTGAAAAAAAAATATTTCAATTAAAAAAATCTAAAAATAGTTATGTGATCAAATTTTGGAAACTATGGAAGATATGTTAAGTGATTTTCAAATGGATTTGGGAAAAATTAGTAATGAAATTCAAACATTACAAGATAAATCTTTTTCTATGAATATACAACTCAAAAATCGAACTGTAGGTTTTATTTTTTATTTTTTTTAAAAAATCAAAATCATTTTATTATTATTTTAATGTGTATTTAATTTTTTTTTTAGGTATTAGAGAATAGTTTAAATAATATTTTGGAAGGAATTATAATTCCACCTCCTATGGTTAAGTAAGTTATCATCAATTTATGGTTAAACATAAGACGATTATATTAACATATAAAAAAGTATTTACATTTTCTTTCTTCCCCCTCTTTCTTTTTCATCTATCTAATTAATTTAAGGAAAATTACCGAAGATGAGATTGACGAAATATGGTTGGCTTATTTGACTGAACTAAATAAAAAAATGTCTTATGTAAAGCAAAAACAAGGAAAGAATATAAAGGCTTTGAAAGATGTTGGACCTGAATTGGAAAAATTACGTTTAAAGGTAGACCTTATTTATTTATTTATTTATTTATTTATTTATTATGTTTTAATACATATAATTCCATAAACTTAGGATTTATTAATCAATATTGATTTTTTAAAAAATAATAATAAATAAAGGCTTCAGAAAAAATTCGTGATTATCTTTTATCTAAAATAAAATCATTACGAATTCCAAATACAAATGTTCAAATTTTACAACAATCAATATTATTAAAACATAAAGTACTTTATCAATTTGTAATGCAAAGATATAGTGATGTTGCATTTGAAATTATGCATACATATATGAATACTATGAGGTGGTATTTTTCTAATCATTTTGAAAGATATATGAGAGGCTTACAAAAACTTCAAGTTAGTAGCTTGTTTATTATGAATTATATTTTTTTTTTGCTTAATTTAATTAATTATTTTTTTTTTATTTAGAGTCCTATAGCGGATAAATTTGCAATGATTGGATATGATGAAAATGTTAGAAAAGGTTTTTATAAAAAAAATTTATTATTTAGGAAAAAATATATACATATATTTTTTGTTTCTTACAGTTTTTACTGCTGTATCATAGGAAGTTTATTATTCGGAACTAGTAAAATTGCCCTTCAAGATAAAATAAATATATGTGCATTGGGTGATAGAATAGATACATTAAAAAATCAAGATTCCGGTGTTATCTTAGTTCATGTAGCAGAAGATAAGAATCAGGTTAATAAATTTGTAGATCTTATTATATTTAAAATTCCAAGATAATCAATTGATGTTTTTTTAACATATAGAAACATCCATATGAAGTCTTATTCAGGAGTTTTAATTTAACATTTATTGATAA